AATTATTTAATATAATTCAATATATATATATATAGATTAAATAATTCATATAATCATATATATGAAATATATAAATATAAAATATAAATCATTTGAAATAATCTAAACTTACATCCTGCTAATATGGCCGGAAGGAAAACCCTGAAAATAATGACATTGAACCAATATTTCGTCATGACTCGATACACACGTATGGTCCTTCACCCTGAAACAAAAAATGCAGAAAGAAATCGGTCATGGAGAATACAATATTTTTAGCAAAAGGATTCAAGTAGATTTTGAGAGATTTGATATTACCCTCGTCAGCTTTCTTTCCTCCCCCTCACCTTCACCCTCACCCTCACTCTCTCTCTCTCTCTCTCTCTCTCTTTCATTTTATTTCTCTCTTACTACAATCGATACGGCACTGCTGCAGTCGAATGCCTTTAACCTTGTTTTACCAAGAGACGCAGTGTGCTGACACTGCTTTAAAAGAATGCCCTTAAGAAAAAGGTAGTCGTAATATTTTTCTATGTGTGTGTGTGTGTATACCTTATATCCTAATAAACCTAAATCAGCAGCAAAATTCTAAATGTCAAGCTTTAAAAAATTTCGAAGCTTTTTAAAGTCAACTTGTATGTGTATTGGAATATATTTATATACAAGTACTTATACTTGTTAAGTTTTACTACCAATGAGATAACAGTAGTCGATTTGTTTCAAACCACATGGGAACACATGGTGTGTTTAACTAAATAAAATTTATCTCAAAAGCTTAGGAAATGTGATTGGTTAGATATTATTTTTTTTTATTTTGTAAAATGTTTGCGTCCAATGATAATAATACTCGGTGTAACATTAATGCACGGCCTACACGTAACAGGAAAAGAAAAAAAACAACAGTTGTTTCCTGACTTCGTCATAGATATTCTTCCTCCTCCTCCTCCTCCACCCACGAATTAATCAACACAAACTCACTCATTCACTCATTCATTCGTTCTAGCTCACGGTTTTATTTAGATTTAGATTTCGAATCTTCATTTGCAAATCTGTCGGATACTTTCTATTTGCGTAGGCGAATTGGAATAGACGTTTCCATCCTTTCTAGTAATGATTTTTTTTCTTCTTTTCGTTTGATGATTTGTTCTTCTTTCATTTTTATTTTTTAATCTTTTATTTTATTTTTTTCTAGATGTTCATAGTAATGGTAAATAAAAAATCATGCCCCCGTGTATTCCGTTACGCGCTTTTGGTAAAGGTCTTCTCTTCTACGAAAGGACGAACAAAAAAGAAAAAAAATGTGGCACACCCAATTTAATTACGAAGCAATTACAGAGAAAGAAAACTATGAGGTTCTTTGTCCCATCGGGAGGTGTGCCAACGATTTTTCTTTTATCCTACGAACACGAAATGATAGATTCGAATTACTTATGGGATTTAAAAATATCACGAAGATGAGATAACACGCACCGAAACAAAACTAGTTTGATCAAAATGTGAAGAGATTATATATTTATTTGTGTAATACGATATCCAAATTTTGGATCTATCCAACATCATCAACGAATAAATGAAATACTTTTTCTGATTTTCTTCATAATCGAGAGAAAACGATTCGATAAACTAAAACTTTGTATAATTATGTTTTATTAATTAATCGTAGAACAATTTTAATGATATCGATTATAAATTCTTGTGAAAATGTTTAAAAATAATGACGAAAAGTATCATGATCATTTTTAGAAAAGATTCTGATCAAATACAAAAATATTTCAAAGAGAACAACTATACAAGTTTCAAAGTTATTTTAGAGAAAGCAAGAGAGAGAAATCACGCAGTAAGAAGTACTCGAATTGATAATAATTATTGATTAGTATATCGACAAAAGTAAAAAGATTAAATACGTGCACTGTACAGGGATCGAACTGAAAAATATAATAAATTATTTTTATAATAACAGCATCGTGGGTTCTAATTTTGTTTTCTAACAACACTCTAATCGAAAACATTCATTTAATATTGTTTTATTTTTCTTTTCTTAATTAATAGTGAATTTTCAAACAACACACACACATCCTGTACACGATCCAACTTTTATTATACATCCATCAATGTATTAAATACTTGTTACTTTCTATTCTTATTGAATCTGAAGATAATCTAATAAACCAAACTTGATTACAACGAGTTAACCGTAAACAAGTTTAAATAATTATCAATTCTATCTCGTTTGTATGTGTGTGTTTGTGATTATAGAATTCTTTTTAGGATAAAACAAGATTAAAAATATCATTTTGAACGTGGCATTGGCCTCGAATATTTGTCACACTTAAATCGTGGGTGTGTCTTATTCTTATAAATTCTTTCATTAATCTGTCATTTTTTTTTTATCGATATAACTTAATCAAAATTTATGTTGATACCTGGCTTACCAATTTAATATCAATATACCTAACATAAGAAAGGTGTTTATAGTTACAAGTAGATAACATATATGTATATATATACCCGTATCTATTTATCTATGATACGATCGATCATTTCTAGAATAATAATGTGTGTGTGTGTGTGTGTTGTGTATGGCTAGTACTATCGCTTTCCTATGACCGTTCGTGAACTCTTCCTTCGTTAAATATGTATTCTTTTTTGATTCGATATAACAGCTAATAATTGACCAATATTTAACCTTTAATAATTGATTTTAGACAATCACATCTTCATTTATTCTATTATATTTTATTTCAGATTTGTCTTCAATGAAAATTGTATTAAAAATTAAAAGAAAAAGTAACAGATCGAAAGAGGGAAAATATATAGAATAATACATCTGTTCTTTTTATTTTTCTATAAGTCTATAAAGTGTTAGAAAGTTGAATTATTATGTGTTCTAACAGAAGTTTTTATTCTTATTTCTTTGCACACACATGTTGTTTTCTATTATATTATTTGATATTTTATATAAGTAGAGAAAGAAAATAGAAAATGAATTGTTATATTAAAGAAATTGTGAATATAATGATTATGATTACTAGTAAAATGATATTAAGAATATTTTACGATCCTGTGAAAAACATATTACAATCCTTGAATACCCATTTGCGGAAGGGTGTGCATACAAGGATGACGTGATGATATATGTTATGTTTTGCGTGTTAATACTCGTGACATGCGACACGGTTAATCAAGGGAGTGTGTCAAATTTGAAATGACTTCAAAGTGAACAACGTAATCGGTAGCATTTTATTTTTTACAAGGGAATAATAATGAATTCTTTTCTTTTTTTTCTTTATCTATCTCTTTTATGTTTTAAATAACATAATATATGAGAATAAATAAAAGAATGAGAATATAATTATGCCACATAAGATTTTAATCTACAAAATGTACTTCATTAGGCTATTTTTAGAAATCTGGAGTAGGGGGAAGTGATTTTAAATTATTGTAAGTGAAACAAACATTAGAAATTGAAAAGTATGTACAAAATATCCTAAATAATTTTCGGTCAATCTATAAAATGTATTTCAATGGGTGTGTTTACAGCATGGGAAATCTGAATTTATATTGTAAATTAAATAAACTATGAAAATTTTCAAATTCTACCCCTCTGTGTTCTTAACACAGCTAACATACATACATATATATTATTTATTATAATAGAATAATTATAATAATACATCAAAAATATATTTATTTGAATCTTAAGCAGTTAATTGTAATAGAAAAGTATCATAGAGAAAAAAAATAATTATCATTTGCAATACCAAACTAATTTTGAAATATAATCAATTAAGTGTGATGATATTTTTCAAAAATCTATATTTAAATTGTAAAGTTAAATATTGTTATAACGAGTCAACATATTCGTCACTCACAATTAACTGGTTAAATTGACAGTGAAGGAATAAATATCTCGTGTGTGTGTGTGTGTGTGACTCACTGTATATATTTATATTACATACAAAATATATAGATATAATAAATTATATAAATACATGTAATAGATGATCAAGATGATAGATACTTTTTCTAAAACTTCTCATAAAACGTCATAATTTGTTATGCAATTAAAAAAACATTAAAATATGTAACTCTATGATCTATATTATCGTGAAACCGTGTATAAAACTATGACATCATGCTTGAACAAAAAAAACAAAATGTATTAACTAAAGAAATAAACAAGAATTATCGATAGACACATCATACATCATTTTATCGCGCGAAAATTCAAAGAAATGTGCGAAATTTATATGCACCACTATACTTATATCAATATATATATATATATATATATATATTATGTACGTGCATATGTATTACGAACAAAGATGCTGTCTTAATAAACAAATCGATGAACGGCTTTCAGAAACTGTGCCAACGTTTTAATCTCGGCAACCTCCTCCACGTTTTCTGTTTAAATCGTAAAACTCACAGTAAATGTCAATTCATTTACGACTATCCGCATTTCAATAAGAAAGAAATAGGGGATGATTTTTTTACCTCGAATTCATTTTACTAAGGGTTGCTAACTCGTAATAATATTACAGATAATAATTGATAAATTTATATGAGAAAATTAATTTAATTAATTATAAGAAGAGTGTCATTGAATTAATTCATTAAATCTAAGTTATTATATTCTATTAAAACATATGGTAAATTAATATTTGTTATTGTTTCAAATAAATAACGTTTGAATTTTGTTTAATGGTAAATGCACATAAAAATAACATTATAATAAAACATTAATAAAATTACAAATAGGACGAGAGAAATAATTCAAATAAAAATAAGAAAGTTGTTAATAGTTTTGAATGAATAATTTTTGTTAAATGTATAAACAATATGTGTGTTAAAGAAATTGATTATAAAATCGTCTCGATTTGTATTCTTTTATTATACACATTTTACCAGAACAACTTTGATACTTCTTTTTAAAAGAAAACATTTTAAAAACTTGTACATCGAAGATTTATAGGATCGAGAGCAGAATTTCAAAAAGAAAAAATATATTTAACCTCAATAAAAATAAAAAGAAAACTAAAATAAAGAAATAATTGATATAAAATAAATCTTATATATTAAATATATATATATATACCTTGAACGTTTTAATTGGGATTGCGTTTTAAAGCATTTCCTTTTAAGATCTCTCTCCCAGCTGTTATTTGGCTGATAGAATCTCAAAGAAAACAACATGCGCTCTTTTAATCAACTAGAGTCACAGTCAACAGTAATACATATACAATAGTCACAGAAATGTTTCTTATCACTATATTGCACCTGTTCTATTATTTTATCTATCTTTGTTATTTTTTATCGTTCCGTTTTTACACATATGTCTCTTCGAATACGATCCCGATCACTTTGGTTAGGATTAAAGGGACAACCTAATTCATCAGGTTTCCATTTTAATTCTACACGAATAATTATAAGATATATTACTACGATTGTGATACATTAATTGCTATTCGAGAGACACTTGAAAAATATAATATTGTTCTTATTATAATATATGAAAACTATTAATTCCATTGCACTTTGCCGGTGTGTCACAACCGAACTGATAAACACAACTGGCTTTGAATAACCTCCTCCCAGTGCAACATTTCAACCCCTACTACTACCACTCATTGTATATCTCGATAGATATAAAACAACGATCTGAGCATGCGCACTAGCGTTTGATTCTACTTCACTTACAGGGCCGTACCATATATCGCAATCATATTTTTCTTTGATTCGATATATTTTTTATTATATTTATTTTTAAATGTCACTTTGTGTTTTGTAAATTATTCTTAATTATATTGGAATATAAAGAATGGATTGTATAATTTTCTTTGGTAATCGATTTCTTTTTTATTACCATAATTATTTCATTCGAAATATATATTATACTTACACGCGATTTATTATTTCCGATTAAAACACATCTTTTATTTTGATATTCTTTTTTTTCTCTTTTTATATATATATATAGTTCAATTTTAATAAATTCACTTTGTAGATTATTTTTAAATGTCTAATTGCTTCATCATCCAATGAAAAAAGCCAAGAACCGTGAAACTGAAACTCAATGGTATGCAGGTAGCTTTGATCCATTCCCAGATACTGCAAATTAATGGATAAAAGATAGCATGGGAAATCATTTTATCCAGTACTACGATTAAAACTAAAAAAAAAAGACAAAAAATGGATTTGTAAAATTTAAGTAATACGTTAATTAAATATTTAATTACATTTAACATATGTATTCAATTATATATACGCGAGAAACATACAATATCTAATAATTATACACTACCTAATTATAAATATTCTTTGTCTATAAAAAAAAAAGAAATAAATTACTTGCAAAAATTAATAAATTTACTTGTAGGGATCATCCGATACGGTGAATGACGATGTCACCGGAATTATTCCACTTTCAGATATAATTACTGGTTTGATCGGCCTATCATTGACATCTGTTTTTGTTTGTTCGATTTTAAAAACTACACTCTGCCCTTCGATTACCTGTCAAATTTAAATAATTACTCTTTAACAATAAATAAATTGTATTTATCTAGATATTTTGTACCTTCCCAAAAACAGTATGCTTTCCATCCAACCAAGGCGTAGCTACGGTTGTAATAAAAAATTGACAACCATTGGTATTTTCACCAGCGTTTGACATACTAACGAAAAATGGTCCGGCATGTGGTAAATCAAAATTCTCATCGTCGAAATATTGTCCATAAATGCTGATCGATCCCGTACCATCACCGTTTTCGATGTCACCGCCTGAGATTTTTTTATTCGTTTATGAAATATAATGTATTTTATTATTAAATCACATATATTTTTGTAAATAAATATATTAATATTGAGTTGTGTTCTATTCGCGATGAAATTTCAAAATACACCCAAATAAAAATTTTCCTATATCGTATTAACGCATTTGCAAACAAGTTTTGCCATAACAACAAGATTTCATTTGCAGTGTAAAAAATAAATGTGTTAGAGAAATACCTTGAATCATAAATTTCTTAATAATACGATGAAAGGATGTACCCGCGTAAGTTTTTCCATTAATACCGGTGGTAGCTATCGTAAGAAAATTCTTCACTGTTTTTGGAGCAACATCACCGAATAAACCTATAACAATTCTTCCGGCAGGATGATCATCGATCATTATATCAAAATATACCTCATCGGTGACTGTAAAACTAGTAGCCTGCAAGAGAAATAATTATTATTATTATACGTTTATAAAGTTTACTTATATATGTATACAATAAAGAATTCTTGATGATAAGGGTTCATAGGGAACTTGGACATAAAAAGAAGTAGAACTTAATTTATTAGTTATTAAGTTATTAACTTAGTTAAATTAAGTTCTACTTCTTTTTATGTTCAAGTCCCCTATGAACCCTTATCATCAAGAATTATAATTTTGGACGAGAGAAAATACTGAATAAACAATAAAGAATGTTGACTAAAGGGTTGGTTTAATACGCAACTCCGTCATGTTGAATTTTACAAAAGATTCGGATATGCAAAGTGAATTTACATAACATACTTGCATAATACATGGTTCCCTGAATTAATTTTCTATAATAAATTCATAATTTGTGTGCAACCGAATACCTTTCATTAGAAATTCTCCAATGCCACAGGTGATATTAGATTTCAATTTGAAATGTATGTTAGAAACGTGCTACCCTTACATACAAACGCATGCGCATGTATTCGTAAAAATGAGCGAGGGAAACCTTATATGTATTTGATATGTACGAACGCGGTACACTATTTGTTTTTTATTTGATATTTCTAATCTTATTTTTCAATCGTTTTATTTATTGCATTATAGTGTTTAAGGGTATTTGATTCTTGTCATTGCACATCGTAAAAGAAATTCAATAATATAATGATCTTTAATAAGAATTGTATTTTAATTTATATGATTTAGATACTTTGATTAAAGTTTATCTATTTTTTTTTTCCACAAATATATAGACTTTATTTGAAGAAAATCTTATATTCGTACATGATGAAATATTGTAAGTATCAACGATAAAATATATCACACAATAGTATTGGGAAACCATATGATTACAGCAGCAACCTATCTGGAAACCTCCAAGTGAGATGTATGTCAAGATAATTCGGACAAAACGTGAACATTCAATGCACAATTAAAATATATTAAACGATTATTGAGATTAGTTACGAACTATCGAACAAATTTACTATAAATATTTTTAATAATACCTTGTTGTTTGGTATAAGACTAATAAAAAAAACTATCTTTAAAAAACACTTCATGATTTTACGAGTTACGTTTAAATACATGGAATTTAACAATCCTGTTTAATTTTATTGATTGAAAAAAGAAAGAAGAAGAAGAAGGAGAAAAAGAAACCACAGCTTTTCGCGAACGATTTGTAACGCGTATCAAATTATTGTCGCGTTACATTGAGCTTAGAAATTTACGGTAGTTTCCGTCGAATAGTCAACGCGCTTCTGTCCAAGTCCAAACTCTTTATAAATTGCGTCTGCGCTCCTGAATAAATTCTTCTCAAAGGTCCAATTAGTTGAACTTCAATTTTCCTTCCTTCCAATTTTTCGTTTAATTTGTAATTATTTGCTTTCCTATGGATAAGTATCAATATTGCGATTTGTAATCTATAATAAAACAAATTGAACTTATTGGTTTTAAGGGATTATTTATTTATATTTATTTATTAAATATATATATATATATATATATAATAATAAAGTAGAATCTCTTTTAAGGTGTGATTATATTTAAGAAGTAATGAATAGGAATTACATTTATTGATACAACTGACAACATAGCAACGAGTGTTTTGTGTATGGAAGTGTTTCGTAGTACTCGTAATATGGGAATTTTTTAATATCTTAAAATATTTAAAAATTTGGAAATATATATATAATTAATGTGAATAAATAAAAATTGTTACAAAAAATGATAATAATTATATAATTAATATTATATGATTAATATATAATTTGTTTTATTTTTAACAATTAGTATGGCAACGAAAGGTAAAGGCAAGAGAAAAGGATCTACCAGCAATAATAAGAATAATGAGAAATCAACCAAAGGAAACAATGGAAAGAAAAGTAAAGGTGCAAAAAGAACGAAAAAAAGTGGAAGAAGAATAAAATTTACTATGGATATATTTAATGAAGAAGCTATGGAGAACGCTTATTATACGTGTCACAATATTATGGATGTTTTAAAATGTCGAGGATTTCCCTGGCCAGAAGCACAAAAGAAAAAAAAGAAAAAGGGGAAAAAATAAATCATTTTATAAATTTCTATATTACACATTATATATATATGTTCGTGACTCTATAACTTTTTAATAAATTTATATATATTTATCAGTTTTTTTCATACATTGTTTAAAAATTATAAACGTACAAATACACATATAATAAATATATATATATATATATTATATGTGTATTTGTACGTCGTATTACTATATAATTAAAATTAACCATACACTTATCTATTTGTAATAAATACGCATAAGTTTATAAAAAACTAATTATAATTTAATCTACGTTGTGCCATATCTCTGTAATACTTTTCTACATCAAATTCTGAATTTGATATCATAAATGGACCATTAAAAACACAATGTACGGTTACAGTTTGAAAATATGAGAGATCCGGTAATAACTATAAAAAAAAGAATAATAATAAAATATTAAAGTATATATTATTTTCAATCTATAATGCTGTGAATTATTGGATACTTACTTTCGGTGTCAATAAAAAATATTGAGAACTACCTGGCCTTCCTGTTATTTTAACCAATAATTCAAAAACTTTTCTTTCGTTAATTGCATCCATTCCCTTAAAATATAATTAATATTCTCTACATGCTATCGATTTTAATATCACGTAAAGAATGCATTAAAAAAAATGTGATTTTAAATACCTGATTGATTTCATCGACACAACGAAAAGGTACTCTAGATAATTCTTGCAAAGAAATCATATAAATAGCAGTAGTTAATGATCTTTCCCCACCACTTTGATGGTGTCTAGTCAATTCCTGCAGTTCATCTGTATCTCGGAATTTTACTCGAATTTTCAAACCATACTGATCAAAGTCCATCTGGAAGCACGTGCATATTCAAATTGACGTTTAATTTATCGAATATTAATCATAACAAATCCAAAGTTATATTTATTCATAAGAATTTAATAAAACTAAACCATATTATCTCCATGAGACAAGGTAACTTCTCCAGCGCATTTCATTTCTGAAAAATATGAACTAAAATTCACATTTATATGTTCAATTAATTTTTTCAAAGGTGGTAACCATTTTTCTCGTAATATAATAACATCTTTCGTAATAGATTCCAATCTTAATTTTTCCCTTTCTGTGGCTTCTTGTAAATCATTTATGACCGATTCTAATTCTTCAAATTCCCGAAATATCTATAAATATGACGTATGATAAGAAGTATTACGAAAAAGCAATAATAATAATAATCAAACAACTATGTTTTTTTACTAACAATTTCAGCATCAAAACTTTGTTTCATACAAAATACTTTGGTTTGCGCTACAGCTATTTCCTTATCTATTTCTTCAATTGTGAGTGGTAATTTACTAAATGCTTGGTTTATAAGTTTGAATGCCTCATCTTGCGGACTAATACCATTAGTAAGATCTTTTGCTTCATTAAATGCTTTAATGGCTTCTTGTTTTAAAGGTTTGTATTCTAATTCTAATTCTTTGAATGTTTTATCCGCTGATTCTAATTCTTGTTTCAAATCGTGGCTATCATTTTCCGTATGTAATAAAATCTGTTTATACAAATGTAATGTTAACTTGGCTTGTTCAATCATTGTTGAATATTTCAAACAATCTCCTAATAATAAATTATATTCTTTGTATTTATCGAACTGCTTATTTACAATTTCCTGCAAAAATATAAAGTAAAATTGATAAGTTATGTATACAGTATTATACACGTATATACATATATGTATATATAAACCTGAATATGCTTATTATAAGTCGCTATAATGTCTTCTTTACTCGTTCGTTCATTTTCTAAATTTTCGATTTTTTTACTAACTATAGATATTCTATTTTTAAGAACTTGAATTTGTTGTATGTTTTGTTGATATTTTGTTCGATCTTCACGATATTTATCTAATTTTTTAGTCTCTATAATTAGAACTTCATCCATTTCCTTTATCTTACTTAACATTTCTTCTTTTTTCTCCTTAAGATCTTTCAACCTAAAAAGGTATATTATTCCATGATTAATATAACTAAAATTGAAATTATAAACTCATGCATATGAAGTATTATAAGTATACCTATTTTCCATTTGTTGTAATTTATTTGTATCTAATACTATCGATAATATTCCATTTCCAGATATTTGTATCTTTTTAATCGATTTTTGACCAGTATATTTAGACATATTCACAGAATATATATGATCCTCTACAAATGTAAATTATATATAAAACCACATAATGATAACAAATGAAGTGTAATTCTAATAATTCTATATATATATTAGAAATGTAAGAAAGATTATAGAATTAAATTCAAATGTTAATATCTATAATATTACTCACCGCTAAAATAACAAGTTAAACTATGCGGTATATGTTCCACATTTTCTTCTACAGCACATGATCCAATTGGAATATTGTTCAAATTATATGATGATACTAGATATTTCATTATAGCAGGCGGTGCATCGAAGAGCGAAGCTAGATAATGCTTGAAACCAAATCTTCTGATATTTTTTAACGGTATATTCGGGTTTAAGTAAATTTTTTTCTCAGAATCGGCGTGTACTATGTTAACTTGTAAATTTTGTTGATCTCTCAAACATTTTGTTAATAAGTTCATATCCTCCTTATTTTCGCAAGCAAATGCCAGTAAATCTCTAAGAGAAATAATCCTTTCTAAATATTTGGAATATGTAATATCTTTGACATTAATCAATGTTAGCATGGGTTCATATATTTTTCCCCGAAATTTATCTTGATTTTCACGCAACCAAAGTACACCTTTATATGAATCAGGACTTCTCTGTCTTAAAAGCTCTAGTCGCTTTGCCTCAATTTTAATGGATTTCTGTTCTTCTGTTAAAGCTAAAGTAGAAGTATACTATTAATACAGTATCAAAAAAATTCAAAAATCAAATAAATTCAATTTTATACTTTAATTAATAAATAAAAATAAATAATTTATACTTCTAATTTCTCGTTCAATTCGTTCATACTCATGTTTACAAGTGGTCATCTGATTTGCCAATTTAATATTAACATCTTTTTGTTTTTCCAAGCATGCCAAAATTTCTCTTTGTTTTATTTCTAATGATTCTTCTATAAATTAAAAGGTATATTATATGATTAATTATATATAGGAATAAAGTATATGAAACAGGTAATATTAAGTACAAACCTGAACCAATATCTTTAATCATTAGACTTAAATCGTTATCTAATTTGCTTTTTTGCTGCTGTGCAAGATTTATATCCTGATTGCGATTTTGTTCTGCTTGTATCCTACCTGAACATTCATTTTCACTTTCTTTAATTTCGTTTTCAACTTTAAGAATGTTAATCATTACTTCATTAGCTTTAGATGATTTTTCAATGATTTTATTTTTATTCTAAAAATATAAAATATTAATTTTATTATTGCTTTCGAGTTTTCTTTTTGATCTATAGTAAGAGTACTCTAATGATATTTGTAATAATAAACATACATATTCATTTATTATATTTTGCTGCATGTTAATATCCGATTGTATTTTCTGTATCATATTTTTTAGGGGCATAAGTTTGGCTTCTAAAGATTTCACCTTATTCTCAGCTACATCTCTATTCTTTTTTGCCTTTTGTATATGTAAAATAAAAAATGTTTTAGAAAACCAATAAATACAATAATTGAATTCAATATCGAATTTAAAAGAATTACTCACTTCAACCAAACGCTTTCTCTTTTGATCGTATAACATCCAAGTTTTCTTCTGTTTTAAAGTTATAATTTTGTTCTTTATTGCTTTTTTTTCTTTGATAGTACTTACAATTCCCTTTAAATGTTCATATTGTTGTGATTTAGTTTCTAATATGCGTTGTTTAGTTAATATTCTTGATTCTAACTCTTTAAGTTCACTACGATATTCTTTCAATTTCATATGGTATTCTAATAATATCGGATTTCCAACAGATCTTTCTGTGTTTTCTAATAATTCTTGGGCATTCATTTTTGAAAAATCATGAACTTTATCTTGTGGAAGAAATTGACATAGATTATCTACCTGTAAAGATAAATAACAAACTTTTTAATTATGTAATGTTATTTCTATAATATATTATCATTATTATTCTCCCATTTATGGGTTTGATGAACTTTTCTATACCCTTTCAATGTAGTCTACTATCTTATTAAAATCCATCTTATTGTCTCTCTAGAGTCAACATCATATGGTGTTCCAAGTACTAACCATGCCCATGCTGTTGATTACTATTTCCATAGATAAATAATTTGAAAAATCGAATCAAATAGATACCTGAATATTAAAACTATGTGTTATTTCTAGTATATCTGCATAGTTGCTGGATTGTCCATTTAACAACCAAAATGTTTTCCCAGACGTATTAAATATTCTTGTAATTGTCACAAATTTTGTACAATTCTCCTTCAATTGTATCTCTATTTTTGCTTCATTGCAACCATTCTTGACATAATCCTTAACATATAATGCTCTACCAATAATGTTAGGTTTACCTCCTAAGCCAAGTACAATTGCACATACAATTGTTGATTTTCCAGTGCCATTAGGACCAATGATTAAATTCAAATTTCTTCCAGGTTTGATGATAACCTGGTTATAAGTTCTACAAATGAGAATTGAAATATTAATGATAAGTATTTATACCATTAATTGATAAATTATGGAGTTTAATGTATCCATATTTAATTGTAAATACTTACACAAAATTTTCAAGATAGATTTGTTTTATTATACCCTTTTCAATAATGTTACCTTCCATTGCATTTTTTAAAATCTCGTACGTTTATAAATTTGAAAGAAATTACTTGTATTATGATCGAGACTATTAAAATTGATCTATTAAATATTTCCAGTATTCACATCTCTTTTACCTTGATTATGTTTCAATTGAAACTTATACTTAAATTATACATTATGTACATTATTGCATATTTATCAAATAATAATTAATCGGAATAAAAAAATGTAACAAACAAACATAACCACGAAGTAAAATTTTCATTAAATAATTTGTACAATAGAAGTTTCCATTCAATTAATAAATAATTAATATAGATAATAATAAATAATAGATATATATAAATAAAATGACATTTAATAATTAGTTCTTAGTATAATATTTTTTAAATAATAGTAAGCACTAATTTTTCAAACTATCAACAACACATTTCAAATACTTTGAACTGCCATTACCGCATAAATTACTACTGTTTCAGTTAGGTTAAATTTAGGTTAGTATAATAACCTAAGTTAGGGATTAAATCCTGCGCGCCTTATTTGAAATGTGACAAATTCGTGACAAATATATATATATACAATTGCGTACATATTGTATAATTTTTGTGTTTTATTATTATTAAAATAGTATAAATAATCTAATAAATCTATTAACCGAAAGAAAATTTCTATAATAAATCATTTAGTTATACTTTTAAAATGCATTTGATAAATGTTGCAACCGGGTGACAAATATTTTTGGTGTGCTTCTAGCCAGATAGTATATCTTTCGTTATGCAGTCGTTTTTTTTAAATAAATGAACAACTGTTCACACTGATAATGATTAAGAATGCACATTTATTTGTTTTCTTATCGTTTTCGGACGTATCCATATCCAACAAAGAATCCTAACTCGCCCTAAGTCCTACATTACAATTGTATAGATATAGTCTAATAAAGTATGTTACATATTAGCAGGTAATATTATTTATTTACTCATCATCACTGCGATGAACACATCATTAGTTAATGTATTTTATCCCAAGGGTGATAGCGATCGATTAAAAAACGCCATCGCTATGGTTACTTAATTGCTAACAAATGATCTACCGACTCATAAAGGTCCGAAATAAAGAAATTCCATGCAGTTTAAAAGGATATTAGTCGTCGAATCATTGTCATATTGTGTCAGAGTCATTAAACAAGGTTTTCTCAATCGTGAAACATGAAATTTGAAGTACCTGTTAATCGTAAAAAATGTTTCCTTTTTCGCGCTAAAGATTATTGTTCTTTGATGAAGCCATGCTTTTTCATTTGTTGCATACTCGGTGTTTTTCCGTATAAGGTCACTTCATCAACATTGAAATTTTCCAAATTAGGTTACGTATATTCAACGTTTGTAACAAGCATCTACGTTATTCACGTATTTATATATTTATATCAAACCGATGTATCCGGTACATTACAATACGACAATGTACCGGGAACTTTACAGGCAAATTTTTATTACATCCTTGGTACCGCGGTAGCCATAATCGCATATTGTAATACGCATAGTAGATTGTTATTCCTTGAAAAATTATATATAGTTGCTTCAAAGTTACCTTCCAAAACTTTCAACGAACTCTCCAAATTCATTCACGCGAAAGATATCTTCGGTTTTCTTTTTTTAATTGGACAAATGCCAAACGTTATGAGTAATTCGTTGAATCAAACATTCGGTAAATTATCCGGGATGTATGCAACATTAATAGTTTTTATAATGGATATGCTTTATATGAATTGTACTTGCGTAATCAAGGATTGTTTTATAAGGATTAACGAAAATTTAAAAAATCTTCAATTAATTCTGGTAACTGGTGAGCCTCATCTATTGAGAAGGGTCTATCACGAAAAAAATAATCCTTTACTTTTAATGGAATTGAAGGCTATTAAAAAAAGACACCAACAAGTCAGCGATATTCTTCAACAAATGAACACGATATTTGGTTCTCAAATTATTATAACGTCATTAATGACTTTTGCAGAGGTAACCTTTAGTTTATATTTTTACATTTTACGAACGGTCGATAAAAAAGAAGTCAGCTTGGAAAAGCAAATTTGGTATGCGTACTTCATAACATCGGTAGCATATTATTCCATCAAGTTAAGTTTAATAGCGTGGGCATGTGAGACCGCTAAAAATCAAGCTGCCGAGGTTGGATCTAGAATACATGAGGTTGTTATCAATACCACAGACAAGGATATTAAAAACGAGGTAAAATGTCTTTTTTTTTCTAAAAAAAATTCTCCACGAAAGTTTTACTTTAACAATGTTATCCCTGACGCATTTTGTAATATTGCAGCTGCAATTATTTTCCTTGCAAGTATTGCATCGAGATAATACGTTTACCTCGAAAGGACTAACTATGGATGCAAATCTTTTAACAACGGTTTGAATAATTATATTAATTAATTATTAAAACTTGCATGATACAACTTTGATAATATTCTTATTTGCCATTTTTTTGTTTTTTCTTTCTTCGTAGATCGTGGGCAGCATTACAACGTATTTATTGATACTAATACAATTCTTGATTTCCTTAAACCCATGCAAATCACACAATAATACCAATGAAGCGTTTTAAAAATCATAACAAGAAAATATATTGAATAATATGATTTTTCCATCTTCTAACTCATGTGTGATAATCTTATTGATTTCTTTTACTACCAATGTTAGAAATCCTATAGAATATTTTTTGTCTAACATAGAAATTTTCGTTACGATATATTGTACAAATATGCAATGATTAATGCTGTTAATTGCGTCAGATTAAGAAATATATATTACGTAAATAAAAGCGGTCCGAACTTCGTCCCTGCTTTCAAGTATTTTATAACAGTATCGAAAATACATTCACATTTGTATATATATATACATACATACATATGTGTATATCTTAAATAAACAGAATAAGAAAAAAAGCTACGAAAAGTCTAATATTTATACGTTTCTAACTACTAGAATAGATTACAACCGACAAAGTCAACGAAATGACGAAGTTCTTTTTGAAGTGAAGACGATGTTCTTGTCAAACGATAGATACATAAAGTTCTTCCACAAGGTAAACGTGTTTTTGATGATCTACGAGTTTTTTTCAGCCGAATGAACGATTCAGGTCTGTCAATGGTCAAAGCTCGTCGTTCCACTTTTTAAACGCATGTTTCCGTCAGTTGCGAAATCTAAAAAGGATTCACATCTCTTATTATCTACTTTCTATTAACAGCCACAAATCGATAACGAATGTGTTTATATTCATCGATCTATCAATAATATATACATACTGAAGTATATTTAACTTTTTATATTCAAAACTGAGAGAGAAATTTATTAATTTTACATTAAATTTCAGATTTTTATAATCACGAATATAAACGAAAAACAAATACAACAAATTCGATTAAAGTTAGAATGAAAATAACGTTTATTAACCCTTCTTTGCATGATGATGGAAATTTCAATCATAATATTTAGTCAACAAAAAAAGGTACTTAAAACCCTTCTACTGTATATTTGTTGTTGCTGGCAACTTTTTAAACGACTATTGCGTACAACAAAACGCAGTTTGTCAAAAAATACCACTAGGATTTTTTTTCAATATTTTTCCTTCAATCTAGAGCATTAATTACATCACCCTGATTTATTTAAAAAAAAAAAAAAGAAAAAATCATGCAAAGAAGGGTTAATAACAGTATCATGTATATATATATATATGCTTCGTTAATAAAATAAAATATAAAGTTATTGCGGATACACCATAAGTAATAAGAAGAATGGGAAAATAGATAAAGAAGTAGAAAAAAAAAAAAAAAAAGAAAAAACGCGTTCTGTTCATTCATAATTAACGACGCAATTCTTCAATCAATCCTTCTCATTATAATCACCATGAATAAATTTATCATTCGTTTATTACTACAATAAAGAATCACACGACTAGTAGCACGCACGGTGGCCGACGACCATTTCTATTTTTTCTTATCTCTATCACATGAATATTTTTCTTAATAGAATTAAATATAACGAGAGAGAGAGACTTCCTTGTTTTGTATTATATATTTCGAACGAATTGATAAATGTAATGGGGGGTAGGGGGTAATAATCAATCGCATGAGAATTCGATATCTTCTCATTTATTTTACTTCAAATGTATTGTAACAATACCAGACGACAATTTTCATTTGATTTACGTATACGTATATGTACATATATGTACATATATATATATATATATATACAATTCATTTCATTTGCGAATCATTTTACGAAAGATCATCGTATGTTTGTTTCAGCATTTATCGTTAATAATGTGTGGTTAATGGAATAAAAATCATGAAGTTATTTCTAATTTAGGCGATAAGGAATGGGATTCTCGTCTCGTGCAATCCGGCGTAACATAAAAGAACGATCATCATGCGACTGCGCGCGAATGTTACGAAGAAATCGAGGAGGCGCCAGCTTTTATTATGAAGCGCACCCAGTTGTCAGTATAGCGCAGACAGTTGCGCGAATCAGCTCGTTATAAAAGGAAAACATTTTATTTTATCTCTATTAACACCCCGCCCCTTCCCCTCTCCACCCCCACGATATTTCTAATTTATTTTCCGTGGGTGCCCGAAAAAAATTTGCGAAAAAAAATTATAAGATAAATTTGCGAAAAACAATTTAAGATATAATAACACGTAAAATTAATGAATGGTGTTGATGAATGTAAAAAATACTTATGTATATTTGAAAAAGAAAAAAAGAAAAAATTATAATAGTGTTTCAAACGACGACGACGAAGACGACGACGATTGGTTGGTTGGTTGTGAGATGTCAGTTACTTTTTTTATCGTATTGCGAAGTGCGTTAAGTGAAAAATAATATCGTTATCATCGTGTGACAAATAAACTTTTCTCATTGAACTAAATATATACTTTTTGCGGCAACGACGGCGGCGTTGAATTATACACGGTGACGCAATGCGAAAAGATTTTCACGGATTTTTGGTGACACCGAGCAGCGAACACCGAGTTCGCGATTCGCTGGATGAATTGCCATAAACAACCAATTGGGAATTAAATCGAGTATGTATTATGCTAATCAATGTTTACCTTGTTCAACCTGTATTCGTTAATTCGATTAATCGAAACGATGATGATGATTTTTTTTTTTTTTCTGTATATTGATTATTATCGAGTTTGAAGAGAAATACATCGATCACAAATCAAGTTTGGTTCTTATAAAAAAAAAGAAAAAAAACGTTGGCACAATTTCGTAACAAAGTTAACCATAACGACGCTCTTGGTGTTTTATTATAATTTAGGAAATTTGATTTTCGCTAATAATCTCGAAGACAAAATTTCTATTCTATCTCTACAAAGAATTAGAAAACTTTTAACCGAAAAAAAAAAAAAAAAAAAACATTTTATCAAAACTGCATTCTCCCTTCCCATTTGCCACATTTCTATCCTTCAAATATAATTTATCATCTACATATTTTTCTTCAGAATTCGCGTTTCATTCCAGTAAACAAAAATCTTATGTTAATACGAAGAAACAACAAAACACAACAGCAACGAATAATAATAATAATAATAGTACATTTTTATCGTAAAAAAAAAAAAGATATCGATTAATCGTTATACATTTGTTTGTTTCGAACGTTCGAAACAAATTTGTTATCAGCGTGGCATCGATCGTATTTTAACAAAAAAAAAAAAAAAAAAAAAAAAAAAAAGAAGAAAAGAAAAAAAAAAGAGAAAATTGGCAACTCTTTGCGATCGTCATCGTAAGTAATGATTTTGATGTGCACGATGAAGAGAGAAGAAGAAGAAGAAGAAGAAACAAGATTAAGTCGAGCGTGAACTTACGTTTCTACATAAAACGATAGGTATATACACTACACACATACATTATATTTACATACGTGCGTAAATAATTACGAGCGTGCGCAAACACACGCATACATAGATAGATAGATACTCGATAAAAGTCATCTTCTTCTTTAGTAGGACTCGCGTGCAAAATCACGGGCTCTAAATTTCGAAAATAGAATTTTGATAACTTGGTATTTATTTCGCAAGTGACGTCCGATTGTTATTTACGTGTCATATTGTTTTATGCATTAGGTTTTCGTTTCGTTAAGAGAATGAAATTAATCAAAAAAAAAAAAAAAAGAAAAAGAAAAGAACTGAATTATTCTTTTATTAGATTCTTTAAACGTCACGCTTGTATTTAAAGAAGTTGTGTCATTTTACGAAGTTTTGCATTAAAAAAAGAAAAAAGTGAAGAATCACGATAATCAATTACAAAAAAAATATATATATATATACAATATAACACACAATAAAATATTTAATTACTTTTTTAAACTTTAATTCGATATATTTGAACCAATTTATTCAGCATGATAAAAGTTATATGGGGCCACTTAGATTATATTAGAAAGAAAAAAACAAATTTGATTGTAAGGTTCGATGAATAAGATGTTGCGTAGAATATAACGAAACGATCGTTAGAAAGTAGGTAGGTAATAGTAATAGAAGTAGAAGAAGAAGAAGAAGAAGGGTCGTTCGCTTGTAAATCGGTGTCTCGAGTTGGCATTAGTTTAGCGTGCGTGTAATTTGTACGCAAATCCTATTTGGTTCGTAGGTATTATTTTCGTACGTGCACGTTTACGTTAGATAGAAGAATAGTATTTGATCCATCACATCGATCGATTAATTTTCTAACGAAACAAATAATTTTTTTTTGTTTAAATATTACGATTATATTTGATATAAGTTTTCCAACAAAGATTAATATTTTCATTAGGCTTTCGTAGACTAATAGTTTGACCTCGAAAGGCCAATGGTCCATTCACAAGTGTTAGGAGAAAGAACGAGAGAGAAATACCCACTTGTTTTTCTCGAGGTCTTCCTTAACATCGTATGATGATGATGCCACGTAGCATCATCGTGTCTTGTAAAAATACAAATACATAGATGCATTAGGTCGATTTGTCGTTGATGTTGGTTGGTTGTCGTCGACGACAACACACCAACAACGTTTTCGACGACACATCGTACGAGAAGATAAAATCGGATCTGGAATGACTGTAAAACGCTATCGAATGACTCACATTACTCTCGAATGTAGGAGGAGGAGGAGGGTACTTATAACATATATACTATTTTTTTCGAATGCGTATCGCTGCCTTCATTGGGACAAACAAAATTGTTTTGTAGCTTCGTTGTCTCTTCGTCATCGTCATAATCATAATCATAATCATAATCATAGTCATAGTCATCTCTCTGCGTACCGATGAAATTTCTTTTCTATTATATATATATATATGTATATGTATATTCATATGTAGAGGTGTATATACTTTACTCTTTCACACTCTCACTCTTAATATATTATTTGTTTTTTTTATTCGTTATATGTGATATATTTTAACGACCTCGAGATAAGATTATCACGATTATCATAAATGTCCGTGAGTTTTAAGTTCGCATAACAAATTTGAAAATGAAAATCTATGTTAATTTCGTGTATTAGAACGAATTATTATAATTCATCTTATAAAAGTTAAACTATTACGGTTTTATCTTGAGTATA